GGAATTTTACTTCGGGTTTGCCAACCATGGAACTCCTTCCCAAACTCAGCTATATCCCTACCAATTTAGACATACTAAAAAGCGATTGGATTTTGCCCTCAACTCCCGTCACTTCGTTAGCTAAGGTGTAATACTTTGGATTATATAAGTCGTGCCTTCTACCGTATTTACATGTCACATGTCATGATTGAAGGTCATTGTGTATATATTTCTCACGGAATACTTCAGCTATGAGTGCCCCCAAGTTTTCTCGTGTGCTTGCAGTCGATTTGCATATTACACTACCGTTATTCAGCAGCACATTTACTCGATGGGCACCTGGACAAACTACGCACATATTAATTGAAATTGTAGTTTTCTCCCTAGCCATTTTAAGAGACTTGTCGTGCACCCGCTATTTATCCGTGAGAAATCGTTGTTCATCTTATTAGGTTCCCACGTAGACGCCGATACCGACCGCTGTACAATCTTATGATCCTCAATCTAATTTGATATTGAATATGAAACAACCATTTGACTTTCCTACTGGTTGTCCGTTGTGGAGTCTCAAGCGCTGCGTGATCGAGCTCGTGCCAAGTCTGCTAGACCTTGATTACTTGTTCCCAATGAGTCCACACGTATGTGTAAAGCATCCGCGGAGAGAAGGATAGATCGAATCGCTCGTATTTTGGCACCATACATGAGGGGTCCACTGCATCCAAATTGCGCAAAGTATGCCCAAGTGGATCTTTCCGTACGTGACAATATAAAGTAAACCGGCTGATTCTTTTGACAAGCGCGAATAGGCAGGTTTGTGTCCGCGGTAAAAAAAATACTTTTCTTTTAAAATTCCCTTGCTTGGCCTTAAGCTTATGTGCAAAGATGTGCAATTGCTAACATTTGGTTGTAAATCATAGCTAACAACCTCCGCCAACCATGGCTCAGCGACTGAAACAGCTGGCTCTTAAGGTCAAACTTAGGATTTTAGATGTGGTAGGATCCGGCGGATGCGCCTAAATGATGAGTTCCAATAGGTCTAGTGCTACTCCGTACCGATGAAAACTATCTGACAGTTAGCATACGGCAAACTTTCTCAGGTGAAGCGTAACAACATATGGTTGCAAAGCACTGGACATTGCGTAATCCAGTTGAGTAGGATTGATAGATGAGCGTACCTTCAACTACATAGCCCCGATGTAATTGCACGCTGCTCGACTGATACCACTAGCTGACAATAAGCGGCACATTTCACTTGTGTTGTTGTTGCTCTCCGTGAATCAGAAACAAAGTCTGGGCCTCTATCAACCTCTTATTGTCAAAATACAAATGCTCGTCTTATGACTCGCATCAATTACGGTCACTCACAAGTTGGAGCATTTAATCAGGCCCTTCCTTTAGCGGCATGGCCTTGAGTTCTGCTCTCATTAATGCAGATCAATTATCCACGGCGCGATCAAGCCATATGTCGGCCAAAAGTCACTCGCCAAATAATACCACAACTTGTACTTAGTGGATTGGCTCATCGGGATGAGAGTGAGAGTGGCGATCAATGAGGTCCCTTTGCATGAAACACTCATGATGAGTTCGAATTTCGGGGTGGATGACAGTGAGCCACACCGAAACCCTTCAGTTCCGTGACGGTCCCAATGCTCGGATTGGCAGAGGCCGAGTTCTAGGTGGCAAGAAGACACAATTGAGATTGTGTGTCGCAATTCAAGACACACGGTGGGTGCTCCAAAACCTGCAATTGGAGTTCGAGATTGCCGTGTACCTCGATACTCCAATTCTTTCCCTCTGATAGTTGGTCACCAAAACCCAGCCTGTGTAAAAGCTAGACGCCGTGACTAACCTGTAGTTGCCTTGCTTTAACGCAGGTTGGGTGATTTGGGCTGATGATGCTTTGTTAGTTAGTGGTATAGGTTCTCCTTCGTCATCTAAAATAGTTTAAACGTGAAACTAAGTTTATACCAGTGGCTGGGTTAAAATGCGTTTGCCAAAATTAATAAAATCGTTATACTGAAATGTCATTAGTTCCTACCATCTTATTATCTGGTGCTTATTCTTCCAGTTTTAGTGCCCATTTGTTAGGCTGTGCATCAAGGAGCTATCGGGAGGGTTGGCTTCACTTTTAAGGACCTAATCCTTTACCTATGCCACACAGGTGACACTGACAGCAAGAATAACTATAACTTGATAACTAGCAGAAGGTCAAAGCAGCCATTCGCCAGACATTTGACATTTTTATTGAATTAAACAACACTCACACGGACGGTGCGGTGTACAGCATCAAACACAGCACCAAATTTGGACAAGGTGTGCGCAATTTATCCAAGTTTCTTCGCTGTAGCCTTATTGAGATAAACACGACTCCTGAATAGATGGAAATTGGGTATTGCCCACCGGAAAACACTGCACAGCCACGACGCGTTTCGATGTAATTTTATCTCATCAGGTGGAGACAGCAGGATTTGAACCCACGACCATTGGAATAGCAGCCAACACTACTACCCCTTTGGCTACCGGGTCACGATGGGCAATGCTTTTGGTCACAACGGTAGATGACTAATTGGAGGGTCAAGTTTGGATTACACGTTGTGTGATTGGATTGCAGTTGCGTGTCGCAATCCAATCACACTACGTGTAATCCAAACTTGGCCCTCCAACGACTCCTGAATGTTTACATTTTTTGCTTATAAAATGTAAAAACGTCGGCTCATGGCACCGATTTGTCACCTAGTCGAGATGCGACGAATTTCCACCTATACAATTCATATCCCCTACTACTCCCCTTTAATCAATACGCAGACCAAACTGCTTAGAATGCCATAGGTTAAATAGCGGCTTAAATTTGTTACCTTCGTCGCATGGCACGAAGTCCACCCTATCCTCTTCACGGTAATAACCTGTAAGTCAGTGGACAGTGAGCGGCGCTATATCACATGTAGTAACTAATTCACGATGGCCTTTACCGTCCCCCGTAGCTCAGGGGTCTCAACCACGGACTGGCAACAGTTGAGTTGCAAGTTCGAGCCCTACAAGGGTCCGATGGAATGTGCACTGTTGACGATTTCCAAAAGGATGAAAGGCGAGTACAGTGCTTTTCCGGGCGTGTTATGTCTGTCTGAGTGAGTCTAGATGCGACGAATTTCTACCTATACCATTCAACTCACCCTACTGCTCCTCGGTAATCAATACGTAGACCAAACTGCTTATAATGCCATAAGTTAATTGGCGGCTTAAGTTTGCTACCTTCGTTGCTTGGTGAGGGTTCTACCCTGTCCTCTGCACGGTAGTAACGTGCAACTCACTGGATAGTGAGCGGCGCATATATCACATCCAGTAACTTTTTCACGATAGTCGTTGCCGTGCCCCCATAGCTCAGTGGTCTCAACCTCGAGCTGGCAACAGTCGAGTTGCGGGTTCGAGCGCTACCAGGGTCCGATGGAATGCGCACTGCGGACGATTCCCGAAAGGATGAAAGGCGAGTACAGTGCTTTTCCGGGCGTGTTATGTCTGTCTGAGTGAATCTAGATGCGACGAATTTCTACCTATACCATACAACTCTCCTTACTATTTCTCTGTAATTACCTGCTTTATCAGCCAATCACCGTAGACGGGACGCGGTCGTCCAGATCGTTGTAGTGAGCAAATCGGTAACTTCTGGGTACGCACAGGAATCGCTTAGTAGGTGAGATAACCTAAGCCCTTGTATAATCTCGACCGTTAAATAGTTGCAAATAGGTACCGTTTGGAAAACGTGACAGCAAACGTTTAGTGAGATAAATCAGAAATGTATACCGTTAAAAGTTTACCTTGAAATAAAACAACAAATCAACAGTAGATGTAAAGGTATTGTCTGGACTTCATCTGAACAAACTTGTTGTTGCATCGCACCGCCAGTGGTATTTCCGAAGATAACATACACTACTTTAGTTGACACGTAGTCCGTGGTGTAGAAATAGAGAAAGCTGTGTGACACAGCCCACGATCAGATGAAAGTGTGATGCCAAACGTAGAATTAAAAAGGGTACTAAGTAGCAGGCCACTACAGTCCTTTGGGAATCGCCCCCGTATCCTTTCCCTGTGATTTTATTGACTGCTGTGTGTGCAGCGGACCGGTAATCAGTGTGTCCGTGGTTCGATTCCCCATCGAAGCAGATTATGGTGCAAGTTTAATCGTGGATTCTACTTTCTACAATATCACACCGCTCACAAAATCACCAATCTACACTTTACCATCGACATTTGAACATCTGAAGGGCAGATACTTCGGTTCATTGGGAAGTGACGAGTGAATGAGCCAATCTGCAACACCAGGACAGATAATGTGAGCTTATTGGCAATACGTCGCGATGTGTCTGTGGGTAGACGTTTGGGCGGTTCATCGAAAATAATTCATTTGCAGCATTTGCGTTGTTGCATCTATCGTGCTGCGTCACCTTTGCATCACCGTGACTGTTATTTCTCTTGCACGTTTCTAATTGATCTGCTGTGCTTCAGCTGTACCTCCGTAGATTAAACCCTCCTAAGTGAATGCACAGATATGTAGCGTTCAGGATTTTTAATGCTAGAGACTCAGGCTCAAGCCGAGTTCTCTAGTAGTTGGGTCAACGAAACTTTGTGGTGACGGGTAATCATTTCTACACGTTGACAGTTTGTGAATCGAAGCGATCTTTGTTCCCCGCATTGCTGCTATGATCGTTCGAGTTAGTCAGTAGTGTTAATTTCGCCTCGGATCCATATCATTAACCAACTCAGCACACTATGGTGAAGCTTCAGTTGATCCTTTGGGTTTTCGTCTATGTTAACGATGGTAAGTCATAGCTGTCACATGTAAAATGTCTTGTATGTTTAGGGCTAAAGAAAGCGGATGTTGATGATTCAGGAAATGATGGGTGTGCACGAAAGGAGCTTGTACATCAAATGCATTTTTCGGATGACTTCTCCTTCTTTGCTCTTAGTGCAAAGCACGTTGCCAATTTAAGGAAATATTAATCATAAAATACTTGCCCCTTTTTCAGACTTGAAACCCGTGGCTCATCTTATCATCATAGATGGTGCTGGAAGAAGCGGAAGCAGACAATGGCCTCTACGGACAAGAAGGTATGGTCGACATCGATGCAAAGAATAATGGATACGAAGAACTTTTTCATGCGAACCACGAACAGTCTCACTTCCACGACAGTGAATCGCCCCGAACGCTGTCTCCTTATGTAGTAAGCAAGGAAGAACCGAAATCTTGGGCGCTCGATCCCAGGAGCAGTCCGGAAGATGGATTCCGAAACCTAGCTCAATACCTTACACACGAAAAAGCACGTCATACATCGAATTCGTTGACAGTCGACTGCGAGTTACAAGCTGAAAACAGTGTCCAAAAAGTTAGGAAAGACGATTTTCCCTATCGCTCACAACATCAGGATTGTGATGAAGTTTTCGTGACTCAGCAACACACAACCGATAGTGGTGTCCTATGCAACTCAACGACAGATGCGCCTCATTTAACAAACAGACAAGAAAACGGAAACATAGATAATTCATTAAGACACTCTGTGAAGTATTCCCGTTTTAGTTCGGAGAGCAAAACTGAAAAGGAGTGTGTCCGGCGCCCAAGCCCCAATACAGCTAGTTCCATGTTTGATATTAAGTCTACGAAAGAGCGAGATGGGATTAACGAAAAGCTCTACTCGCCTGGTGGTTCTACTTTGCCCAAGACCAGTGGGCATGAAAGCTTCCATGTAAGTCCCTTAAGGAAAACAATCATTGAAAGCCCATGTGAAGTAGAGAAACCTGGAGGAGAGAAGTCGAGGTCCAAGCCGACGTTCATACAGGGGGAGGCAGAGAGTTTGCTGAAAAACGACTTACCTGAGTATAATGATGGGTGTTCAATTGGAAGAGGGGCAGCTGAATTTGAGAAATCAACGCAGGATTCATGTTTCACAAGGACTCGTTCATTGCATTCCAGAAGAGAATTGCAACCTTTTGTGAATGCGAGCAGTTCGATGGAAAAGCATCAATGCTGTCATCGAAGGGATTCCTCGTCGAACAGTTGTTCTACGAGCATGGTACGTCGCCCACAAGTTTTCTACAATCCAAATTCATCTAAACCTTCCAATGAAAACGCCTACAAAAAGGGATATGCTACCAGAGAAAACCCACAGACCAACCAGTATTTGGTACACGAGCGACAGGTGGATTTTGTTAATGAAGGTGGCACAGACGATCATGTGCACCGAAGACAAGAGAAGATGCAATGCATGAAATCAGTTCGACCTTATATACAACAAAGCCAATCACTTGAAGGAGGTAGTGTTTACCGATCAGACTATCCACCAAGACAAGCCCAAATGGAGCGCAGTTTTGCTCCAAAATACGAATACTGTCGTCCTTCTGTACCCTATAGTTGTTCGACTACCTATTCGGATGATTATGTGGGGCGTCGTATGCAAAAGCCACTAAGTTTCAAACCTTCGCAAAGTTACAACAGACCAGAAGTTAGGATGGAAAGCCACACATGTCACCGAGATGAATTCAAGTGGCGGGAGAATGATGAGCAAGAGAGTGTTTACGTTAGACCGAGACACCGGCCACCTGCGGAGCCATTTGAAGGCATCTCCAGCTACAGCACAGATTTCAGGGCGAAACCGATAAAAAGGAGGAACGGGTTTCTACCTCGTGATAACTTATCTATCGGATGCGAATCCGGGATGCATAATCGTACCACATACCAAGATGAGTTTGTGCCCTATGAGGAACCTATGCAATCGTCCTACAAACCATGCCAGCACTATGCACCCCCTGAAGGGCAAATGGAGAAGATCACCTCTTACAGATCGGATTATAAACCCCCGGATATTGGCCGGTTCCACTCCGTGAACGATCTTAGCTCCAAGTGCGCGTGTTGCATTGATTCTTACACCGAGTCACAAAACGGTCGATCACACCCAAACATACACATGCCTCACGCGTCATTGCTGAACTCGCCCAACAACCACAGAAAGCGAGTGTCCATAAATGGTCCCCAAATATGCCGAGGTTTCACAGAACCACGCTCTTCCAGCGTGGCACTCCGTAGACCCGTTTGGAGGCGCAACAGTCGTGTTGTTTCGTTAGATCGCTCAACTAATCCCCGTGCTGTTTCCGAGTCTGGTTTCGCTGATACCCTACACGACAGGTATGCAAGAAGGGTTATTCCGTATGACGAGCAAGTGCACACGAATGAAGAAATGTCCTACGATTTGGAATCCAGTTATTGGCTGCCTCCAGGAAGGACTCAAAACTCTCAGCACATCAGAATGAAATTGAACGGTAATCAACCAAGGCCGTGGAATCAATACGCCAGGCAAAATGATGCGGAGTCAGCTGCGCATTGTACCAGACTACCACCATTGCCATTCAATAGAGCCGAGACGCGACACACGGATGGCTGCTTTGTGCATGAACCATATATTTGTCTTCCTGCAGTGGCCTGACACTATGACACAGCGTTCTTCATTTCGCCATCAAACTGCAAGATACCTTTATTTGAACGTGAACACGTTAGTTTTTCGTGGAATATATTACAGTAATTTTCCCAAAGTATACTACATGCTCACAATACACTGTTGTTAGTATATTATTTATTCAACCTAATTAAAAAACAGTCATTTTACATGTTTATGCAGCTCAATGCAACCATTACATTATATTCACAATGTAATAGTAGGATTGACGGAGCACGGATTAAACACCAACTCCGGTTTTCGTGGACAATGAAAGATGAATTGGTAAGCACGCCTCAGTTTGGTGCAGGCTTAATCACACAACCTGGCTTTAAGTAAATCATATCCTTTGCTACAAATAAGTAATCAAAGCTCATAAGGGGTTCAGGTTGCATTTACTGTTGATGGCGCGAATAAAATTCCACTTCGTCGAAAAGTAAATTCAAGCCGCTCAACCAATTTTCCCTAATACAACCCAAGTAACACTTCGCAAAATCTTTAACATGAGGGTTGAATTTGAAGCTACCATACAGAGGAGGCTGTGTATTAGACAGATTGTGTACTGCAATATATGCTGGCTGTCCCAAATGGCTGGCAGACTGATAAAACATGGTGGGGTTCACTATCATCATCATCATCATCATCATCGTCGTCGTCGTCGTCGTCACGAATATAGGTTAGCTGATGATGAGAACCGCACCTTAGCTAATTTGCCGCAATACAAAAGGTAAGATATAAAAAATGAAATTACAAAAAATGCAAAGCGTAATATAACGCCAAGCATTATATTATGCGTTCTGTATGAGATCACAATTAGTGAGGGAATCTAAAGGAGAGATGGACAAAGAAACTCACAACACGAAAGCCATTGTAGCCGGTTCACAGCAATATAGGCGTGTGTCCCACCAGAAGTGATCATCGCACCTGTGACTCCAGCCAGGCAGTCGGAATGCACTAACCGACGCCAAATCCGAAGTGAGAGTATTCATTTCTCTCCACCAAATCATCGCTTAGCCCCCGCTTCTCTTCCAACCGCACACGCGGCCCGAAAACAATGCACATCGCGGGAATCTGTGTGCTAGCATACGTAACACGTGGCCCAGCCATCGGAGCCTGGTACGTGATACAATGGTGCTAAGCGGTTCACCCACTCTTCCTGCATCAAATACGCGACGCCGAACGCGCACAGTGCTCACTCGGTGCTCCCATCACACATGAGTTAAGCTGGGACGGAAGCGATGATCGAATGTGACAAGCCTCTACAGGTTTGTCGACCTGATGGGCCAGATTTCACAACCGTACAAGAGGGCTGGACGGACGGCTGTGTTATAAACTCTGGTCTTGAGGGCGAGAGTGCTGTCGCGTCTGTGCCACAGGTGGCTGAGATTGACAAAAGCACCTCAAGCATCCGCTATATGGTTCACAAACTTATCTTCGATCCTAGGTACGCGAATATAGCTGCCCTGGTACTTGACTTCCTGAACGAACTCTAGCTTATCACAACCAATCGTCAGCGCAGGGGTGTGTCCCTGCCAATCTTGGGGTAGCACTTTGCGTTTCTGTAGAGCAAAGTACAGCCCAAAACGATTGACAGCCAGAGCTAATCTGTCCAGTGCTGCTAGGCACGTTTGGAAGCTGTCAAAGATTAGGACAATATCGTCGGCATAACCCAAGTCAAGAAGTTGCTCACCAGGAATTAGCTCCACACCTTGTAGATCGTGTTCAGAGAACACTATTCCCATGACTTCATCAATGGCGAGGTCAAAGAGGAAAGGTTACTGTGGGCACACTTGTCTCCGCCACTGGGGATACTGAAGGGCTGCGACAGTTTGACATAAACCCTCACTCTGTCCCAACTATGCTTTGCCAGCGCTCTAATAATGTTTACCTATTTATCGGGCACACCAAAGTGAACATCGACCCACCGAATCGAAGGCAGCTTTTAAGTTGAGAAACACGACTACGGTGGGTCGTAAATAAATATGCCAGTGCTCCAACATTTGAAACAAAATGTAGATGAGCTGGACGCAGCCGCGACCTCGACGAAACTCAGCTTGCTGCTCATGAATCTGACTTTCACAAGTGCCAGTCAGTCTGTGGAGAATGACAGACACAAGCAATTTAGAGGCAACTGAGATAAGACTGCCCCCTCTATATTTGTCGCATTCCGAATGGGAGCCCCCTGAAAATTGGGACAATGACGGAGTGGCTCCAGTCTATCGGGACTGTCTCCTGCTCCCAATGTTGCACTAGCAACTCAGGTAAATCATCTACTAGAGCAGATCCTTTGAATTTGAAAAGGGCTGAGGGATTCTAACTTCCCCCGCGGCCTTATGTGTTTGCTACGGTCTGATCTTACGTTCGAGTTCTGCTCGTGAGGGCAGATCTAAAGAGATGGCTCATGGGGAAGTGCACTCAATGTCCAAAAGAGAAAGCGAGAACTCAGATTGGTTTAACTTGCAAAGTGTTCGGCCCTAAGCTCCAAACGTTTTGATAAGCTGTGGATTGGTTGCCCACTCTCATCCCGTATGGTCTCGCTAACACCAGATCTGCGGCTGCCTGTTTCCCGTAGCAGACGGAATAACAGGATGATCACGAACAGCAGTAGCTGTTTTTATTTCCGATGCACGATGAGACTAGGTTGCTTCGCGGTCTCGCTTCAGACTTGCACGCAGCTTTACCTTAAGGATTTTACGAGTCCCATTGTATTCACTTTCAGCCGGAATACATTGGCGAGCATCCAGAGTCTGTGTAGAGATTCAAAGTCCAGTTTTGCAATTTGATTTGCTAATTGAAGACATACCTGCTGATAGTAAAGTTTGGCGAATATGCGACCAGGGATCGTCAACGGTGTTCACTGGGGCTTACTCAGCCCGGATGCCAGCCTACTATGATACACATTCAGCAAAGTTGACTTCCTCAGCTGGCTAGTGTCACTGCGCTCAGATCGACGTTGCGGACGTCCTCTGAAACGCACCCAAAGATCCGCACACACAAGGGATTGATCGAGCGACCGTTTCGGAATCAGCTACTCCAGCGCTAACTGATCGCAATGTGATCGATTTGAGTACATAGCTGGTCCGAGGCTGGTGGAGGCCAACTTACTGTTCTGCGAGTGCTGTGTCGAAAATTAGCGCTCAGTAGAAAGAGACGAACATCCTCACGCATGTGTAGCAACCGCTCAGCGTTATCATTACGAGAGCCTACACCATGTTGGCCTTCCAGATGAAGCTCATCAGAGGACAATTTTTCGACATGAGCGTTCAGATCACCAGCAAGCGCCACGGCATCTGTACTTTTCTATAACGGAGGAACGTGTTCAGTTAGTAATAGAATTCATCCTTCACCGAATCAGTGGCTGCAGTTTGTGAGGGCGTAAGGGCACTGACAAACAGGCACCGTTTGTCATCGCGCGACTTCGAAGCCTAAAACAAACCAGCTACTCTAACGGCTGACATCCAGCTGTTGACAGATCCAATCGATCATATTAACTTCAGTTCGGGGACTCAAAACAATGCCGACGCCAACTGGACTGGCATTTGAAGCTGCGTCATTGCCAAAAAGGGGCAATGCGAATGTGCCGCCAATGTCACATATAAGGGATCGCAGGGTAAACACGGAGCTCGAATCTTATAGGCGGGTTTCCGATAAGCAGCAAATATCGATCAACAGGGTCTCAAGTGTTCGGGCAAGTGCTGCTCGTTGGTCAATCTGTAGCAAAGTGCGTACTTTGAGACACGCCAGTCTTAGCGAGGATCAAGGACTCCAAAGGGAAACGGATGAACTGACGTTGTCCGCTTGGTTGAACATGAACTGGTCTGCTGGACTGGATTTAATCGAATCCCTGCGTGTATGGGGTTAGACAAATGTAATCGTGTTAGGCAGCTTGACCGCCTGAGAAGTTAGTAAGTTGAGCAAAAGCAATTGCTAAGTTCAGCAAACGCCTGCATTTCGTATCGTCTCATCATTGCCGATAATGACTGTTACGTATGGTAATTAGCTGAAACAATGGAACAATGATATATTACGGGCAAAAAGCGGATGCTTAACAAGTCCAGTAGGATGGCCAGCATGAGAACCACAACACGGTGAATAGAAAACATTGATAAAATGGAAACATTGTTTTCGTGGACTCATCACAGATTCATGCAGAATGGGCCAACCTTAGTCGCGTAGGTTAATTCTGATTGTGCAAGTTCCGTCGCATTATATCGTCTACCGAGTCACACAGTCGATATCTCGTAATGTAGATGGGTTAGGACAACGTCAAGGCGTATTTTTAAACGCAGATAAACAACGGTATAATGGCGAACATACATCCAAACAAACGGGAGGAAAAAGGCGTGTCTTTTCCCTACATTCAGGGCAGCCTGATGCTGACCGTTAATTGTTTGTCCATAAAGCACTGATTCAATTCGATTTATGGTAATCGCCTTGGCGAATGGGGGAAGTTGGGTATTGGCGTGACGTCTCGTTGACCTCAATTTAGTCACTGGAGGTCAACTAGTATCTACCGACCCAAAGTACTGGCGGCTTGCATAAACCGTTAGTCCGACTCAGGCCTGCTTGTTGCTCGTCTCGAATTGAACCCATTACTACACGGGTTCCATCATTCGGAGATCTGAGCTAATTTGTTGCCCCGGCTGTACTAACATCAACATCTCGTATTTAGTGGTCATGGGTTCGGTTTATGGAGAAGCCAGGGAATGTACACCAGCAACGAGTCTGAGTACAATGAACGGCCGTCCAGTGTTTTGTGATATCTATAAGGCTGTGTGATTGCGACCAAGCAACGGAATGTGTCACCGCTGATTCTGGTTTCTAACTGCCTACGGCAAGTTGTAGTCCAGACAATGGGTGACGCCCTCAAACAATTACCATTTGTTACTTAGCACTTTCTCTCTTTTATACTCTTGTAATATACCTTGAATTTATTAGCTATCCCTTCTTGGTACAGCGAAGCGAAAAGCAGTGCAAGCCTACAGTATAACAAACAATAACTTCTTTTGCGACTTAAAATAGTTGGAAAAGTACGGAAAAAAGACAAGGGCTGGTAGATGCATGCATTTCATAATGTCTCCTCGGTACCATTAACAATAACCAATATGCATAGATATAGCTAACAGTGGGTGCAACCAGACAAGCTTAAGTTG